GTTTTAATGTACCTTTTGACATAATTGGATACAATTGGTTTCATATAGCGTTTAGTTAAAACATGTTCCATTTCCTATAAAAATGACTGTATTCCAACATTTTCTAGAGCAAACAATGATGTTTCATTTTTAGAAAAAGTAAAGAAATCTACTCACAAAAACTTATGCCCTTATATGACTATTCCTAAAAGCTGGTTCCCAGACTTTTCAGTGCATACAACTTTCAAATGGAAAGATTGTTCCATTTTGGAATTTTCAAATCTTATATGCCAGATTAAAATTGGTATTTAATTTGTAAAATCTAATTATCCTTCTTATGCAAGAAATTTAACACAGATTCTGGTAAATATAGAGAGCAGCATTTTGTGCCAAATTTACAAACATGCCCAAAAGAGAATCTTTCCCAATGCAGTAGTTATGGTTTTATTTGCAAAACAAATCTATTCTGTATAAGCAAAAAGTCGGTATGTGATGGATACATTGATTGTTTCGATGAGAGTGACGAATCCAATTGTAGCACTCTTTTTAAATTTAATTATCCAAAGTTCAATTATACTGTTAATCCTTTATATATATGTGATTATCATAAAGATTTGCCATTTGGAGAAGATGAACAATTTTGCAGTATCCATCTTTTTGTATTTTTAAATACTAATTAAATGAATTTAGCAGAAAATATCTATAATTAGTTGACTTTATTAAGCAATGTTCCTGCCCCCTAAAAACATTTTTAAAAAAAAATTCAAATTATAGACATTTTCTGGTGATTTCCAAAATGTTATCTTGTAATTAAATAGTTTCTTTTTATATCAAGAATTTCCAGCTTGTAATATCAATGAGAGGTAAAATAAAACAATCAATCAATCAATCAATCAACTGAATTGTTCAACACAATTAGGCAATGTGACAATGAGTACTGTATTGATAATACGAAATTTTGCGATAATGAAAGAGATTGTTTCGACTACAGCGATGAAAATTGTGAAAGTACATTGTTTAAATCTATTGTTTTATATTGCCTTTTACTAATTTGAATACACACCAAGGATTTGGCTATTGTGGAGATAAACAGTATACTTGTTCTAATAAACAATGTATTCCAAACTTTTATGAATGTGATTGGAAAGTTGATTGTCACAAAGGATTTGATGAATATTTTACTCATTGTAAACATCTGGAAAAATATTCCATCAATCTTACTGACAAAGCCTCCTACATTTTCAATAATCAAATAAGGAACAATTTAACATGTACACTGAAATATAATAGTATGGATTTTCTTATTTCTCGACCAACTTCACCTTTCAATGACCTTAAATGGTGTCCAATGACAAACGAATGCCAATGCGGGGAATACAAATGCAAAGATCATTACTATTGTATACCAATCAGAAGAGTTTGCAATGGAATATCTGATTGTCTTCTAGGAGATGATGAAATATTATGTAGTAAGTTTGTCATTAGAATTTAATTTTGTCAAACAAAATTTATGTTTGTTTAGGTAAATTTGCTCCACAAGGTTATTTCAAGTGTAGTAGAGAGGGAATATTCCTTAAGTATTCTCAAATATGTGATGGAATTTTAGATTGTTTCTACGCATCTGATGAAGCATTTTGTCAAACATTCAATTGTCCAAACTCTTGTATATGCTACAATCCATTCGAAATGATTTGCTCTAATTTGACTAGAATTCCAAATTTGGTTAAATCTTTAAGAATTCTTCATTCCAAACAATTCGGTTTAGATGCTTTATCAACAAACTTTGAATTAACATATTTGAATTTGTCAATGTGCAATATAAACATGGAAAATATCTCTTTACTTAAATATGCAAATGTTCATATTTTAGATATGAGCAGTAATGGAATGATGAAATTCTCTAGTGATATTTTCATGGTTAGAGAGAATTTAGAATTTTTAAATCTTAGTAGAAATATGCTATTCAATGTACATGAAATTACATTGAGCAATCTTATCAATCTAATTACTTTGGATTTATCATATAATAGATTGAAAATTTTACTATCAAACACTTTTAAAACATTAATAAATTTGATAAATCTCTATCTAAATGGAAATTTCATTGAGCATTTAGAAGAGAATTCATTTAATTCTTTGACAAACTTACAATCTCTTGAAATATTTTTAAATAAGAAAATGCTATTTACTTTGACTAAAAGTCATTTCATAAATTTAAAATCATTACATCTGTTAAAAACCAATTTCTATTTCATTTGTTTGTATGCTAAAAACTTGAAAATCAATTGTAAATGCTTCTGGAAATATAGAATTGCAGGAATAGAGAGAATGAAATTTGTTTTCATTGTTCAAATCTATTTTGGAATTGTAGTTGTAACATTAACTTTTTTTATTATTCTGAAAATTCTATACTTTTGCTTGAAATCAATAAATGACTTAAGAATATTTTCACTTCACACCAATGATACATTAATATCACTTCATTTGTTACTGTTGCTATTGACAATTCACCATTCACAACAAGATTTTAGTGAATATTTTGTACAATGGATAAAAAGTGGAATTTGTTTACTTAGCCATTCTTTGATCATTTTTTCCACAGTGTTCTTTATTTCAATCAATTCTCTGTATTCAATTTATTATATGTATATCTATAATGAATCATCATTGAAATTGGCCAGAGCAACCTACATTTTACATTTTCTTTCAATTTTAATATGCATAATAGCAATCAGTATTTTAGGATATCTTTTTAATGTAATTTAAAAATAGTAAAATATTATGAAGCAATTATCAACTAATACCAGTTTTTATTTATTTTATTTTTTTTTGTTTTCTTCTTAAAACACATTAGAATAATGATTTTAATTCAATTTATAAATGTTCTTACCTTTTAATCAGTGTTGGTAAAAGTACAACTTTTCTAATTGGTTTATCCTCTCTTAAAGCAATATTGTTAATTATTTCTATATCAATGATCATTCTATTATCTCTAAACAAAAATTCCAATCAATTTAAATATAGGAAAAAAATGATTATACAATTTACATGTCTTTCCTCCAGTCTTTTTTGCATTGAATTTTTAAGTAGATTAATAGAATTTTTTTATAAAATTTTTTTTTCACAAAAAAAAACTTAAAAAAAAATTTAGATTTTATTTTCTATAAAATGAATATAAAAAATATTGAACAAGTGAAATGTTTGATAAATTATTCATTAATCTTTTCTATCATCTATAACAATCCCTATTCAAATTTTACAAAAAACTTTTCATTCATTATAAAGAAAGAATTCTTATGAAAAAGTAAGGTTTCCATCTTGTTTTTAAAATTTATAATTATTTTATTATCAGAATTAGAAAAGCTGAAGAGTTATACAAAGATCGGATATTTCCATGTAAAAAATAAAAAAAAGACATTATTCATCATTTTTCATCTCAAATAATCTATAGTCCTATTTTTTTGATATTTTTTAGTCATTGATATATGTTATGAGCAATTATGTAGAGATGGAAGTGTACTTTTCTTTAATGATAATTGCGTGAAAAATGTCTCCTTGCTGTTTTTGAGTGTTAAATGCTTGTACCAGTTTTTAAAAGATATTCACAAAAGGGAAATTTATATTGAAGGAAAATTTCAAGAATATTCAAGTTCCAACAAAAAGGTTAAAGCTTATAATAAAATAGTGTTGATTGATGGACAAACATTCACAAATCAGATATTTAGAGGTTTTATTTTATTTTTTTCATGAAATGTATCACAGGTAAACCTAGATTTAATTCTATGTTCCTTCCCATGTACCCATCTTAGGGTTAGGGTAAAAGTTAAAGATTTGTAGAATGTTTTCCATCATTGAATAACTAACAGAAACAATCTGCAGTTGATTTTTCTCCATATTTTGGTTTCGAATATAAAAAACAGACTTTTTTTTTAATTATTAAAATATGTTTAAAGGACTGTATGGAAATCATCAGAAATCTACACTGCTGTTTGACAAAATATAAAGAAAAAGAGGCCAATATCCTGGAAGCAGGTCTTTTATTAAGATCTTTGCTACAACAACATCACATAATCAACAAGAAAAATATATTTAATAACCAAATGAGATACAAAAAAAACAAACTGTAATTAATTGATTGATTGATAAATCTGGGTTTTGTCTTGTTTTTAAATTTAAATTTAAATTTTTGAAAATACAATAAAGTTTATTGAAAATAAACCATTTAAAAATGGTTTAATACTACTTCACTATTGTAGAGTATAGCTGACAAATGTATGTCTTCATTCAATTTTATCATTTGATTTACCTTAGGTATTTCAACATTTTTAGAGTGAAATTTGAACAAAACATTTCCTAAGTATAAACAATAATTTGGTTGATTGTTATATCAATTTATGTTTACAAAGTTTATAAATTTTCATTCTGAATACCGAAATAGTTTCCTTTAGAAAAATTGCAATTTTTTGAAAATTTTTCTGAACAGTAGCAATTAATCATATTTAGTTAGAATGAACAAATGATTGCTAAAGTAGTTATAGAGTAGTATATATGTTAGGTACAATCAGTATATTAACAATGGAACAAAGAACAGGAAAAAATGCATGTCAAAATTGTTACATCTTATTCAATAACAGATGCTGAAAACTAAGGCTTGTTTTTGAAGTACCACATGCATAACCTATATGATATAACTGTTTTTCATACCTTTGCTGTATGTTCATTGTAAGATCATTACATTTCAACTTTGAACCCAAGCTTTGGTAAATGTATAAAAGGAAATGCATTTCCTCAGTTTGTCAGTTCAGTTTTAACTGTTAGCTAGTTGTTTAAACTTGCTTGTTTAGAACTAAAACTCATTATACTCAATACATACTCTTTGCACGAAATACTGGCAGTTCATTGATTAATTTTTGCTGGAATTGAATTCGTTGAGGCTACCTGTGGGACGAACTTGAAAGGTTCTATTTGGACCAGTACTTTGGTTTATTGGTAAATAATTGGTGAGGACGAAATTCAATTGTAATGAACTTGAGGTTCCTACAATAGAAGAAACAGATATTTCATTTTCATTTAATGGTAATCTTGGAATTGCTGTATTTTCTGCTTCCTATATTGGACCAATAAATGCAAATAGAATAGTAGTTTGTACTGTAGCATGTGTAGATGGCGCTAGTAGTCTTACTTCAACAGCTAAAACTGAAATTTTGCACAAAGAAAGTAGGCGTAGTTTGATTACAATTACTTATCTTTCCTAATAATTAATTTTTTAAGCCTATGGTGATACTAGCGATGCAGAAACATATAAAGCTGGAATTCAAATGTCATCGTCTCAAAGTTCACCAACTAGCATTGAATTTTCAGGTAACCCAGGTAAACCTGTCCAATTTTGGTAATTATTGTCATATTGTCCATTAGAGAGTTCCATTCAGTCGTTTTAAATTTTTGCTTTCAAATTTCTCACCATTTGACAGCTATACACCAAGGAATCCTGATGAAGTTGATTTAGACCCACCAGTAAATACGTTTTTTATATCTCAGACTCCTACAACTGTTGTGGCTACTCAGAAAAATGGAGTTCAGTCAAGCTTTTTGGTGTTAAATTGTATTGCTGATTCAAAAACATTTATCTATGACATTCCAATTGTCTTTGCTAATGTTGACCCTTGGGCCTCTTTAGTTGGAGATCCACATTTCAAACAGCCAATTTTTGATCAATTAAGCTCTTTGAATACACATATCTGTTATGATGTTACAGGATTTGCTGGGGACTATATACTTGAATCATGAAGACAAATGGGAAACTTAAAAAAATTGTTCAATGGTTAAATTAATTGGTACAGCAAAATGTTTAATTATTAAATATGAAAAATAAATGTTTAATATAAAGAAATTAAATGAGAAAGAGTTTCCTTTCTTCAATTACTAAATAACTAAAATTTAAAAAAGTAAACAAACAGGAAATGCGTTACAAAAACTTTTTGAATTTTCTCTCTACTGCAATTTTGTAATGAAAAAAAAAAATAGTTGAGTGTGACCTTTTGATACTCTTTAGCTGGCGGCTAAAAAAATGTTCTTAAGTGATTAAAGTAAGACTAATGTAGTTCTATAGTTAATGCTAAATTCATTACATTTGTTTGTAAGAATTTTTATATGCTCAGGTGCATACCTGCATTGCCGCATATATGTATAATTGTGCGTACCTAGTGCACAATGCATTTGTTACAAAACATAATTATGCAAGTTGAGGATGAAGACATATTTACATAGTAATAATAAACAATCTCTATTTTCCAGTGACATTAGGTTGCTTGAATGGCTGGACAGAGTTTAATGGGTTTTGCTATTTTGTATCATCTAGTAAAACTTATTGGCTTGCAGCAGAAGATGATTGTAATGGATTTGGCCGAAATTTAATAAGTATCCACAATAAAGAGGAAAATGACTTTGTTCATAGACTTTTACAAGTTAGAGATGGCTGAAATTCAACATTTTTGTTGGTCTGATGGTTCACCTCTAAATTATACACTCTATCAAAGTGACCCTTATCTTTATTGTGGTGTAGTTAGAGTACAATTGAAGAAAAAAAACAACCGTTTTTTTAACAAAATAACAAATGTAATTTTATAGCATCTGATTGGTTTGCATTCAATTGTGGACAACAAGTAAAGTATATTTGTAAAGTAAAGAAAGGAGCTACACCTTCTCCTAAACCAACTTCAGTAACTCCAGTTCCTACAGGCCATTGTCCATCAGGTTGGTTAGAATCTGCAAAAAAATGCTTCAGAATATACTTCTTGGGTGAAAAAAATGGACTATCTTTCTTTGAGTCAAGAATTAGCTGTATGTCATTGAATATGATGTCTAATCTGGCAACAATCAATAGTGAGGAGGAAAATTCACTTATTCTCTCAAAAATGATTAATATACCATATGGAAATGGAATATGGTTTGATTTGCTCAAAAAGAGCAGACATGACCCTTGGCTATGGGCAGATAATACTCCATATTCCTTAAATGAGTACAATAATTGGTTTACTGAGTATCAAACAGAGGTATGTATTTAAAACCAGTAGCTCTTTTTATAATAACTTTAGCATTCTCAACATTTAACAATACTCCTCTATTCAGGTAACATTGATTTCATATCCACAACTCCACTAAAGAAAACAATATGTAAGAAAGGTGAATATCTTGGAGATGGTTGTTATAGCATACAAAATGAAAAAAAAAACTTGGAAAGAGGCCTTAAATTCTTGCCAAAAGCAAGTATAATTTTTCACTTTGTTTTTGCCTTGAAATATAAATTAAATCTTTCTTTAAACAGGAAATGAATTTGGCTTCTATTAATTCTGCTGGATTAAATTCAGGATTGCGTTATCACATTATAAATTCAGATAAATACTATTGGATTGGAATGAATAGGATTAATGATACAGAGTCAATGAAATGGAGTGATCATTCTATGGTTTTTTTTACAAATTGGCAGGAATTTCCCAAAGATGACAAAAATTGTGTTGCCATTTCTGCAAGAGGAACATGGAGTGGATTTGAATCGTCAATCAGCTTTTCATTCATTCACCTGGATGGATGACAGCCCTGTCACCTTTGAATATTGGAGAAAACCTGACAGTAATGATGGAAATTGTGCTGTCATTACTTTTAATCCAGAACAAAGAAGAACTGGTTTCTGGAGCAAGAGTAAATACATAGGTTTGTATAGATATATTTGCAAACTTCCAAAAATTCCTTTTCCAAGTACTCCTCTCCCAGTTAAAGGAAAATGTCCCCAAAAATTTCAAAAAAAGATGTTTGGGAATTATATGGCAATAAATGTTTTCTCTTTCCAAGTGCCAAATATGAAGATTATCAACAAGCAGCACAATTTTGTAGAAGAGTAAGTGGAACCTTAGCAGAAATTAGAACATTTGAAGAAAATACCTTTATTGAAAAATATGCCAAAAAATATTTCCTTTCTTTTATTAAAGGCTTATGGATTGGTTTAAGAAAAACAAATACTAGTAATTACATTTGGCAAAGTGGAAATAAACCAGAATTTGAATATTGGTATGATTTGGATGACAAGAAGGGAAACTGTGTTTCATTAAATACTTCTCTATATGGTCACTGGACAAGTCATAGTTGTGATGGAAAATACTTTCCCTTTGTATGCCAAGTAGATGTGATAAAAGGTATATATCCATATCCTCTTTGTTTATTTTGATTAAAACAACAACTTTTCTTTTCCTATTCACTTGTAAAAGCAGATTCTTCTGGTATGACAATTGGTGCAAAGGTGGGACTTGGTATAGGCATAGCCATTGGTGTTTTCATTCTCATTGGAACATTTGGTGGTGTTAGTTATAAAAGGCAAAGTTCTAGAGAATCACCAAAGAAAATATTTCACAATAGAGCAAGTAGTTTTGGTAGTACAACTGAAATGTCCAAGTATTACAATGAAGCAACTGCATAGAAGTATAAAAAAAATGTTTATTATCACTGTGCCCCAATACTCATAATTTTATAGGTCTATATACATTTGTTTTTATGACAAACCATGAATAACAGCTTTTTACAGAGCAAAGATATAAATGTTTAATGAAATGGTGTTTTTTATAGTAAATGGGAATGAATGTAAATTGTTTTCTTGATTGTTTGAATTCAGTGCCCAACCCTGAAAGACTTTTGTAATAAATAGATGTTTATGCCATTTAGTAAATTAGAATTACCTATAGAAAGTCTACTTTCCTTCCAGGGGTTGTAGGTAAGTACTGGTCCAAATAGAACCAAATTAGGAGTAAGCCACTTAGAAGAGAGATGTAGAATTGAGGGAGGATGAATATAGAGCCAAAACGTAAGAATAATATAACTGTATCCTAAAGTAATACTAGACCTGTTCACTAAGTCAGTTGATTCAGGACTGAATGCCTCTTACTACCTACATCACTGTAAGAATGCTGCCTAAAAAGACCATAAGACCCCAAAAGCGCTTTGAAAACCAAAGTGTTATGGAAAACTTCCTCAAGGACCACCCTAAAATTATCATCAAACTAGCTGACAAAGTCAGATGAATTGTCTAATGGATCAGGAAGACTATGTTTTTGAGGCTATGACACAATTTTGTGACAAAACAACTTATAGAATGGTCAATATTAGAATAGGCTCCACTCAATGGTCTAGAATCAATGAAATTCTTAAGCAATTGGTGGTGATTAAAATCATCAGTAACAGTACAGCAGCCCTGTTGGTTCCACTGAATAGCCAAAAAGATAGGATGTTTTACCTCCTCCCAAAAATCTGCAAAGAGTACTCTCAATGAAGGGTTCCAAATAGAATCCCAAAGGTTAGACCTGTGGTGAGCTACGTTGGGAATATGATATAGTTTCCAGGTACTCCAAGGACATAGAGTACTATGGTAGTTATATTGATGATATCATTGTGGTCACCAAACCAGACAAAGACATTAAATTATTTACTGAGGAACTCAATGATAAAACACCTGACATTAACCTGTCTTGGTCAGAAAACCCCAAAGCAACTACATTTTCGGACTTGGACTTACACATATTAGGAAGCTCTCTAACCTGGAAAACACACTTTAAGGTTACAGACTCCAGAATCCTACTACATACCAAGTCTAATCACCCACCACACACTTTTAAGGGCATTCTTATGAGTCAACTCACAAGATACATGAGGAACTGTAAAGATCATGACATGGCTATTTTTCAGTTTAAGGAGCTCATCAAAATCAACAAGGCTAATGGTTATACTGATACAATGATGAGGAACACCATAAAAAATTTGACACAAGAGCCAGAGAAAAGAACTAGCTGAAATACAACATTCTGAGATGTAACAAGGGGAGATGTGATACCTGCCTTAGATTTAACATGAGAAAGGAGATTTTTGACCTATATCAGGTCAACTCTTGGAAACTGATGGGCAATGTTAGCTGTATCACTAAGGGTTGTATATATATATATATATATCCTACAGTGTTCTACCTGTGGTATGGGTTATGTTGGTATGACCACAGATACAATTAAAAGCAGATGGGGTACACATAACCTGGCCTTTAGGAACAAAATTAATAGACCCTTATACAACCATATGGCTACACATGATATCAAACAGTTTAACATATACATTGAGGTTATAGTCCCAAACTCTCAGAGAGCCTAACACTGGTCTGGTTAATGAGGAAAGAAACAGATATCATCAACCATTTGGATACAATTAGCCCACATGGTTTCAATAGGCATGAGAGGTTCACCACAAAGGAAATGGTTCCACTACTTATACCACAACTTAAGGGAAAATTTGTCAAAATCTTTATCAATCTTCAAAGTCTCTAAAAGAACTCTATCTTTTAGACTGCAATTTACATGAAAATGTTTGGTTAAAGTTGACAGATCTTCTGAAATCTTGTTCCCAAATTGAAATAATTTATATACAAGAGAATACAAATATGGGAAGTGGATTATCTGATATTGGTGATGGACTTTTGTATTCATCAAATAGTTTAAGAAAAATAAGCCTTTATAAGTGTTATTTGATTCAAAATCAAAGCAATACTTAGCTAATTAACTTAAAAATTGCTCTAAAATAGAATTGATCAATCTAGCATATAATGAATTTATGGAATATGGATTATCTGATATTTGTCAAGGACTTTTAAATTCATCAAATACTTTAACAAATGTCAACTTTACAGAATGTTTGTTTAATGAAAAAAATCTAAATGCTATAATAGAGTTAATAAGAATATGTTCCTCATTAAGAACAATCATTCCAGAGAATTTACAAAATATTCTGATCAAAGCAAATGTTTGCAGTATAGTTTGAATGAATATATATTTTAATCTCTGATTTTCATTTATAATATAATAAAGACTAGTTATGAGACTTAAAATATTCTTTTCTAATATTTTTTGATCTACAAAGATCTTTACTTTCTTCTCAATGGAACTCTGGTTGGAGCTCCTGAAGGATGATTCTGTAATCACTTTGGTGATGGAATCTAAACTTGCCCCCTAGCAAAAAGTCACATCCATCAAATCCTCCATACTGCCGTGAATCAAATTTGCCCTCAGCACACATAGATTTGGACTCAGCAGTTGTAGAGGGTCTACATACAGCTATGTCTGCTACCAAAAACGCATTGCATCTCATATTTGAGGCCCCAACCAGGAAGGTGTCATAACAACTCAAATTGAAGTGCAAAAAAAGTAATGTAAGTGGCAAATGGTTAGCTGAAAATGCAATACTTCCATTTGCTAATATGGGAAATATTGTAAAAGTAAACAATTGCAAGGAAATGATCAATCACTGTAGAAGAAAAAATCAATTTAATGAATCAATTGGACGAAATTTTCTCATAAATAATGCATACATACCAGATCACTCTTTAAGAAAAGATATTTTTGAAAATGATGAAAGGATCATTATCTTCTCCACATGAAAACAACTTGATCTGCTTTCATCACCTTTAAAATTGTAAAATTTCCTTTTAAAAAATTATTTTCTTTGCATTCATTTTTGAAAAAATGAAGTAAAACAGATGCCCTTAATGTTTGCATTTATGACATCAAAGAAGAAGAGAGCTTATAATATATTATTTAATATATCAAGTATAAAGGGAAGGAGAAAACTAAGAAGTATTTGTAATAATGATGTCAGGTCATCAGGCAGAAAAATTGCTGAAGATATTTTATTAAAATGTTCAGCTGAGGAGATTAGTTTGCCAATTATGGAAAATTTGAGAAGATTAGCTAATGTCACCAGACAGAAGAAAAGACCTATAACATAAAATAATCCATTTTTTGAGATAAATATTGATTTTCTTCCTGATGATTTCCTGCAAGGAGATGTTTCATTTGGAAATCAGAGAATAATCATATTTGCTTCCAAGCAACAGTGTGACCTTTTATCCAAAAGCAAAGTTTGGTATCTGGATGGTACATTTAAGGTTGTCAGAGAACCATTTGTTCAACTTTTCTCCATCCATTCTTTTATCAAAAAAGATGAAGAAACAAAGCAGATTCCTTTGGCATTTATTTTCATGACATCAAAGAAGAAGAAAGCATATAAACAAGTATTAAGGGTAAGTTAATAAACATTTCATCTAACCTCTAAATTTTATCATATTCTCTAGGAAATTCAAACCATTACAAATTATTCCAAACCAAAAAAGTTCTTTGCTGATTATGAGTTAGGATTATGCACTGCTTTATCATCTGTTTATCCTAATGTACCAATTCAAGGATGTGTTTTCCATTGGACACAAGCAGTTTTCAGAAAAATCCAAGTAATATATTATATTACATAGTTTTATTATATAATTATTTCATGTTTTTAGAATTTGGGATATGCAACTGAATATAAAACTAGGCTGACCTCTAAAAATATGATGAGAAATTTATTGGCTCTTCCTTTTCTTCCTTCTGAAGTAATACCCCATTTTTTTTCATCTTTAAAAGAAGAAGCTTTTGAGAAAAATGTATATAAAGATTTGTATGAATATATAGAAAATACCTGGATTAGAAATTCTATTTGGACACCAGAATGCTGGTTTGTTTTTGGAATGAGTATTAGCACAAATAATGATGTTGAAGCATGGCACAGGAGACTTAATGAAAAAACTTTGCCTAAATCTTGCTTCTACTTATTAGTTGATTGCTTGAAACATGAAGCTTCTTTGATTCCAGTTTTTCAAAAACTTCTAACTGAAAAGAAATTAAGAAAATATCAAAGGCAAATGACAATAACAAAACAAAAGAAAATTTTTGACATATGGGATGAATATAAATTTGGTCAAATAACAGCATTTGATGTATTGGAAAAAATAGCAAACATTTATTCTGATTAACATCTTTAAATTGTGATTTTCATATATTTAGCATTTTTATGTTGTGTTTAGTTTATTAACTCTGATAAATTTCTTATTTTTCATTAACTATATTATATACATTTTTCCCATTATTTCTTTTAAAAGAAGAATATTCAAGTTCCAGCAAAAAGGTTAAAGCTTATAATAAAATGGTGTTCATTGATGGACAAACATTCACAAATCAGATATTTAGAGGTTAGATTTTAGGTTAAAAAATTATCAGGTAAATTATCAATTAGCTGCCTTTCATAAAATGTATCACAGGTAAACCTAGATTTAATTCTATGTTCCTTCCCATGTACCCATCTTAGGGTTAGGGTAAAAGTTAAAGATATGTAGAATGTTTTCCATCATTGAATTGCACAACTTTGGTTATATTTAACATGTTTGAACTCTATTATTTGATGCAACTTATACATGTACATCTTAAAACCTACTCAAGAAAATGCTATAACATTGGCCAAACATAAGTTTGATTAGTCAGCTTGAAGGCTCATCTTTAATTACCAATAAAGGTTTGGCCAAGGACCTGGGAAAATCATCTGGAAACAACCTCCACTGGAACCATCCATCTACTCCTCAACATTGGAAGACAGTTTGGTAATTTGGCAACCTGCTATTATGAACTATCTACTCTGCTATTGAACTCTCATATTGTTACTTGCTTAAGTATTATTATTGCGAATAAACCATTTTAATTTAAACATTTGTTTAAAGGTTTGAGTAGAACCAGTATTGTTATAACTTGCAAATGCATAGATTTTGCCAGCAAGAGCAGTACAGAATGACTAACAGAAACAATCTGCAGTTGATTTTTCTCCATATTTTGGTTCCAAATATAAAAAATAGATTTTTTTTTTAATTATTAAAACATGTTTAAAGGATTGTATGGAAATCATCAGAAATCTACACTGCTGTTTGACAAAATATAAAGAAAAAGAAACCAATATCCTGGCAGCTGGTCTTTTATTAAGATCTTTGTTACAACATCACATAATCAACAAGAAAAATATATTTAATAACCAAATGAGATACAAAAAAAACAAACTGTAATTAATTAATTGATTGATAAATCTGGGTTTTGTTTTGTTTTTAAAGTTAAATTAAATTTTTAAAAATACAATAAAGTTTATTGAAAATTTCCATTTTAATAATGAAAATTTGCAATTTTTTTTTTAATCTTCCTTATTCATTTTTTTCTTTCAAACTTCCAAATGGCTTTGAATTGTTTGCTGTTAAAATTATTTATATTTCATTTATTTACTCAATGCCTTTTCTTTCACTATTACTATTATGATTCAATGGTAGTTGTTGTTAAAATTTTTGACCACTTCTTTAATATAAATTTTTTTCTGTTTTTCTCTTCACCAGGCACTTTTGAAAGACTTGGCTGGAAATTTTCAATTAGAAAATGGCTCTTGTACCATAAATTATTGCTATGGAAGTTTATTCCATTATTACAAATCAAGAAAAAGTCTAGTTATTCACAATATAAGTAGTGAATCAAGAGTTTTGCTAAATGAAATTTGTGATAGAATGGGATATGATAAAGTAAAAGCTGAGCCTTTCTACAAGGAAATATCACCTAAAAGTCTATTTAAATTTATTATGTTTTTTATAATAGAAAATGTTCATCATTTTAACAGAATTCAACAAGTTGTTTATATATTATAACGAGATAACTGAAGAGTTTCATTATATGATTGATTTTGACCAATCAGATATCAGTTTTATTGACATTTCTCTTAAATGCTATTTTAGAAATCAGTCTTGTAGAAAGAATATTTATTTCTCTCATTCATTTCTCTTCCCTTCACACATTTTATCTTTCAGACTACTTTTCTATACATCACTACACTTTTACAAATTCAGAAAATCAATTCATCATATACTTTAAACAATTTAACAACAATTCAAAAATTGTATGCTTAATTGATGAACTGAATGATGTTTGCAAAAGGAAATCTTACAAGATAACACTGAACCATTTTGAAAGTCTTTTTGATTTGAATGACAATATTAAATTGAAAAATATTCCATACTGCTCTTTAAATTTTTGTACAAATGCCAATAAACAAAGCAACATATCAATAAAATGGATGAAAGAGATGAATAACAATTGGTTGAAAGATGAGCCAAACAATTTAGATAAATTGATGCCAGTGTATCACAGTTACAATAGTTATGATACAATTCCATTATTATTTGAATTTAGAAACAATAGCCAATTGTTAAATACTCTATCAACTTTGTGTAATGAGTACAATCAGAAATTCTATCATACATTTTCTGGACAGAAAACTTATGAAATATTTCATTATTGGCATTTATCTTATAGTGAAAATTTTGTAGACGTCATCACTTGTTCCCAATCCAAGGAAACAATTAAACATTGTCGGATTATCAATCAACACTATAGATACTACGATCATTACACAATTAAATTGAAATGTTTTAATGAAATTCTAAAACCTTTGAGGTTGATTGCAGGTGATACACAAGACAAGTAAAAAAAAAACACTCTACTCTTTTTTAAAAACAATCTACAGCTTCTTCTTTTAGAATATCAAATTTAAATTCTCATTTATATTCTCATAATTTATCAAAACACCAATCTTTTAGTGGAGAATTACAAGTTAATTATCAGGGCTATTGGTATAGAATTGCTCATATTCAATTAAATCACAAAGCAGTAAATCTGATTTGTGAATATTTCCATTTTACAAGTGGTACTGTTGATTTTCAAGATGGGATTGATAAGGAAAATTTTCCAATTCTTTCATTAAAGTGTTCAAATTCGGCAGAATCTTTTGACAGCTGTTCAATTGAGAATTTTATGAATCCAATACTCAGTGACCTATTACCATTGAGTATTTCTTGTCACCAAACACATACTCAATGTGACAACATCTCAAATGGAACTGTAGCAACTTATAAATATTTAAACAGCTGCTACTATTTATATAAAACACCAAAAGTTGTCAATTTTTTAGAAGCTAATAGATTATGTCTGTCAAAAGGAAAGAGATTGTTAGGAGTAACTGGATATGACGAAGCTAGATTTGTTGAAGTTGCTCTCCTCTCCTCCTATATAAATTCCAATGGAAACCTAATGAAAGAAATGGGAAAGTTGAAGAAAAGTTGGCAAATTCCTACAGGTTGAATAGAATTTTTTGATGTATAGGAGAAAAAAAAGGGCTTTTCAACAATATATTAAAAAAATCTTCTATAGGATCAGTAAAAATTTCAAATGGGGAAAAGAAAATTTTGACTAGTGATAATATTTCATATTCACTAATAGGATTGTGGGCTATTGATGCATCAATAGACAAAAGGTCAATTCAATAGAAAAAAGTTTACAATATATATATATATATATATACATGACGTCATCTTATCTTACCTTCATTTCTTTGCATAGATGTAGAATCGATATTAATGAACCACAATTGCTTT